GAAAGATTGTGATACACCATGCAGCAGCCCTCCTCAACCTCAGAGTCTTCAAATATGTTGGACTCCAATTCCTGCCATCCCTGGCCAACTCAGTCAATGGCAATGCTGGCTGGGGATGCTGGGAATTGTAGCCCAATACGCTTGGATGATAGCAGGTTAGGGAAGGCTGCCTGAAATTTCAGGCAATGCCTTACTTTGTCAGATGCATGTTTCAAACTGTTCCTTCATTCATAAGGCAGGCTCTGTCATGGCATGAGAATCCCTTTTAAGGTTACTTGGTTACTGTGGTTACTTAAAAGAGCCCACTACAGGGAGCTTGTGATGCCACAATCTCCTTATAGCACAATCTCCTTATATATCTATTTTTCGACCACAGAGAGATACAAGGCGGGGATGAATTGCCTGGAAGCCTGCAGGCTGCTCCTCCTCCTCCTCCTGTGGAGAGTTCTGATATGTCCAGCCCAAACAGAGAAAAACAGGTTGTATATTTACAGAACATAAAGGATAATCTAAGCATTTCTGCCTAACAGAAGCTGTGCCTGGGATGTCGTCTTCTGAGGACTCCTCAGACCTGACCTAGATGTGCAGGCAGAGCACCACATTAAGATCCTTAAAAGAGGCAACTCTATTAATAGGAAGGATAAACTGGGCATTCTATTAAAAACCACTTCTCCTTCCTCATGTTGCAATTCATTCAATTCATTCATCCACTGCACAGGCAGTGGCCTTCCCCTGAATGGCCACAAGGAGCCACAACTCTGTGGCAGAGCACAGGCCTTGCCTGCAGAAGGACACAGCCTTGATTCCTCGTGTTTCCAGGTAGAGCTGGAAACAGTCCTGCTTGAAGGCCTGGAGTGCTGCTGTCAGCCAGCATCACCAATACCAGGCTAAAGAGACCCACGGTCTGGACTGGGAAGAAGCAGCTTCCTGTGCAGTCTACAGTACATGTGTCAAGAAAACTCATATGCAGTATACATGGATTTGGGAATGGAGACAGTAATGACTCAAAATATATACAAGATCTTTTAAAAATTCAGATGTGCGCTGATTTCATTTGTGATGGTTCCACATTGAACAAAACCTGAGTCTGTAACACAGGCCTGTTGAAAACCCACTGTGTCAAACAATCTGAAGAACACAATGCTGAACTTACAGGACCCCTCCCCACAGCCAGAAAAATGCAATCCTGGTAAAATTTCAAGATCTACTTCCTACAGGTCCAGTGTGTAAGAGGGAGAACCCTTCAGGCAAAACTGTCTCAACTGTGAGAGCTTCCTCCACCTAAAGTCAAATGAGAGAGGAGGAAAATGAGCAGCTTGTGGGAGTGATTGACATTAGTCAGCACTTCAAGCTTGGTTTGTGCGAGCCTGTGTTTTTTATTCTGACAGATAAAAGAAGCAGAGCAGGTTTTTTAAGATACCATCAGCTACGCTCATAAAACCTGTAAATTGCTTCTCTGCAGGTTCCGAATCAGCCATTGTCTGAATGCTTAAGTGCCCAGCGCTAATGGGGAGAGGCAGCAAAAAAGTAGGACAACACATTGCCTTGGAATAAAAGTCATAAGGACAGTACCCAGTTTTACAGAAATTATCAGCTTGTTCGAACATGCCACTTTTATTTTAATGAATCCCAAACAAAAAGCGAGTCATCCAAGGCAAAGGTTACCCAGATGATTATTGGAATGCTCCCACTCTGGCCACCTTCATTTCCTAGAAGTAGTTTCCAAGGCTCAAACCAGAACCATTTTTTGGGCTGAACCAAAACAGGGGGCAACACCTCACTATGACCATCTAATATGATGCATGCCCCCTCCCCTGTTGTGTTGACTTCTCTCTAGGAGGAGCTAAAAAGGGCATAAAAAAGATTGCACAGCACCTCAGTGGATTCAGTTGGCAATGCTCTCCTTGCTGATGGGTTTCCTGCCCAGCATCAGTTCAACCCGAAGCCAAAACAGCCTCTTCCCAGGACCATTTGTCCTTGTTTTCAAGCTCCAGACCAAAACAAAAGCAAAACCAACCAACCAACCAAACAACCCTCTACATACTCACAGAAAATGCTCACTTGGTTAAAACTTTTATCAGCATCCTTCCCTGGCATGAAGCTGTTGTATAACCAGTAAGATTTGGCTGTGTTTAATCAGTAAGATTTGGCTATCAATGCCAAACAAAGCTAATTCAGAGTGAGAGCAATTTTCTCACTCAACAATATGTCTCTTTACCCTTGCTAATGTTAATTATGCACATAGCAAATTCACTTTTCCTGGAAGAAAAACATGGTTTAAAAGAAAAAAAAAAGGATGCCAAAAATCAATCTATTAGTACTGTGAATACCAGCAAAGTAAAAGTGCTAAAAAGGAAGGCATTGGAGGATTTCTGGGACTGATTTAGCCCTTAATCAAAATTCCTGTTTCATGCCTAAACTGTATAGCATGCAACTTTTGGCTCAGCCTTGCAAATGCCTGTGAGTTCCCCATGAAAGGGCTTGGAATTTCGTGCAACTTCACTAAATTGGTTGGTCTTGTCAGTATAACATACTCCAACTGTAGAGCCGCTCCTTCCGCCTAAGGAAATTCGGGGACATAGAGGGGATGTGGAAACACGGGGTGAGAAAAAGTGGCACAATTTCATGGTAAATGGAAGTGATGATAGGTAAAACAAACCATTTATTCAGAAGTCCTAGAAACAAGCACCAATGCTATAGCCAAGTGCCAGACACATACTCTCCATCTATGAATTCTCAGAGAAAGGGAAAGGGGGAGGCCAAAAATGAATTTCAGCTCCTTTCATGTAGCCTGTTCCTCCCTCTAGCGCCCTGGCAATGTTATTTTAGCACTGCTGAGAGGAAATGGTGTAAATGTTTACGGAATAACTTTGAAACATTTAAAAGAAAAGTTAGAAATAAATTCATACAGACCACCATACAGACTGAAAGGTATGGTAATTAAATTAAAGAGGCTGCTTCCAGCTTAAAGGGTAAAAGGGGAGAAACGGCAGGGAGTTGTGTCTTAATTTATCTTTTCAGACAGCAAACAGAAGGAATTGTGGTGGAGAAGGCTTATTCATAGATATAAGCTCATGGTTAATGTTTTTATAAGTTCAGGTCTGGTTCCCGCCCCTCCCCCGCCTGTCCCCAATTTAATATCTAAGGTTACAGGACTTGTAGGGCCCACAGATCTTTTGAAAGTCTCTGAAGGAAAGGAGGGGGAGCTTTTTCCCTAATTACATTTACCACAAATCACTCCCTAAATCTCTCTCGCTCCTTTCAAAGAGCTTAGGTAGTTCCACCCCTAATTGACCTGTGCCAGGTTCCTTTCATAAGCTCTATCAAGCCTACTTCCAGCAGCTGCAGTCTGGAAGCACTCTGGCATGGCAAGCAGACGAAAGGAAGGGCAGAGCAATTTTATATCGACAAAGAAAAACAAGACCAGCCCCATCGGTTTGGGTGAAATTGCATGGACAAGCAAGTCCACCTGCCTCGCTTCCTGAAGTGCTCACCCAGAAAGCAGTTTTTTTAACCCAATGAGGCAGATAATTATGATTTTGACTCAGTGTATGGAAATGCCAGATAAGCAGTCTAACATTATCTCAATTTATGTTCCTTCGTGATATGAAATCCTTGCAGGTTTACATTCCTTCCACTCTTACATATTCCAGAGAAACTGAGACCTGCGCAAGCAACACAGATGCAGTCTTTTCAAGGTAGATTAAATCACCTTCCTGTGACAGCATCCAAATGCCTCCTCGGTCTTAAGGTATTTAAAAATTGTGGACCTCTTTCATAGATCAGGCACATGGAGGAATTCGGGGACATGAAAACTCATTCTTGCACTGGCATCTGTTCCAGTGGCAGAGGGTTAACATTGAATACAGTCCTAAATACTTGCCAGCTATCAGGGACTCCCAACTACAAAGAGGGAAGTTCATAATGCTGTTCATGAAATAATATTGCTGCATCTGCCACACATTGTTTCTAAAGAAACCATGTCTGAAATCAACCAATCAGAAACTTCTCACTTGCACTCTTTTTATTATTGGCTAGAGAAATGGGACTATTCATAGATTTAAATATGTTTATGGATTACTATAAAAAAAGTATGGGGGGCTGACCCAGTAGGTCTGATGTTTCTGATGATTGATGGTTTTTAGTTTTTTTGTTAGTTGGTAGAAAAATAATAATAAAACTTATTTAAAAAAGAAAAAGAAACTTTCCCACTTGCTCAGTACAGTGCAGCAGTGGTTGCTACCTTTTCTTTGCATGAAATTATCATATCAGTTTAAAGCCATTGAAAAACCAGCCATATACATATCTGATAATCACAATGTCAGGGTAGAAGGCTTACACTATCTACCATGCAATTTTCTATATTTATAGACCTAAGTAACCTTGTGTTAAGATTTTCCTGCAAAAACTGCTCATGAAAACTCACTATAATGGCTAGTTCACACTAAAAGTATTTCTTTGGGTGATTTTGTACGTGATTGGGTGTAAACTAGTGGAAATATTACAGCCATTGAAATTATTTTGGCTTAACTGCTTTAATGATTACTGATATGGCTGTTCTATCTATTGCCCTGTTTGCATAACCTTCCTGCACTGGGTCATGAACCTATGCAAACAATTGCACAAAATAACTTGGGTAGTATAAACTGGCTTTCAGATGCAAGTCCTTGACCATCCTTAAGACTGGATCCCAGAGCTCTCAGAAGTTTCAGAAACACAGAAATTTCATTTTTTATCTATATTATCTTTAGGGCAATGCTATATATGTTCCTGAAATTTTACTCCCTGAATTCCCCAGGAAACATACTGGAAGTTGTAGGACTTCTTTCCCTCTAAATATGTATATGATTGCACCTTGAAAAATATTTCTTTGTGATTATTTTAACTAGTAGTGTATTTTTATTCCTTGAATAAATATTTTGTGCTTCTCTTTCCTGCACCCTGTGAGAGAAACAGAGAGATATATACATGGCTTGTTGAAAGTAAAAAATTGTACTTACCACCAAGTAAAGCATGGTATATAGAGAAAAGGATGCATGGCCAGAGAAGAATGATTTCCTAGAAAAAGAAAGAAGCACCTTTTTGTTATTTGAATGAATAGCCAAGTGCTTTGGGGGTTTTTCTAGCAAGTTTGCATGATAACACATATAACCAGTTGTAGATTCATATATATTCTTTCTAATAAATTTTTTAAAATCCATTTCCTTTTAAAAGATTAAAATCAGGTCTGAATTAAACTGATTTTTTTTTCAAAAGGAGAGCATCTTTTTATATTAACCCTAAGGCTGGAGGAATTACTGTGGGAAGAAGGGGGGAAATCCAATTCATCCATTCCAGTAACACATACCTACATCTGGATCCACTCCTGGGTGGTACATTTCTTACTGACGGATGTCTCTTGGAGGGAAGCACAGCGTACAGAGCTTACTGCATAGATATCTAATTTTCTGAAATTACATCCCACTTTCCTAAAAAAAAATCCAACTTCAGAGCAGTATACAAAGCTTCCCATTTGCCAGTAGGAATCACTTCCAGTACAATAGGAAGCTAGTGTTTCCTACAGTCACTGGAAACAAGCCAAGTTTCTGGAGTAGAACATGACTGCAGAACTCACAAAAGGAAGTCCGGGTAACCAGTCCTGGTCTGGAATTAAGTTTTATTTGCTTCTTTCTGAGGTTGCTCTAGGCCAGTGGTTCCCAACTTGTTTCACTTGTTTACTCCTTGGCAGCCCATTTCCATAAATTGTACCCTTCATATTAGCAAACTGTTTGTAATTAATATAGCTGCTGTTATTTCAAATCTGTATGTTGTAACTGTAAATAAATGGCCCAATAGTGGGATGCAAAGGCAACAGAGTAATAAGTGAACAGTCAGAGCATATCTATTTACATTCAAAACTCGAAAGAGTTTTATGCCAATATTCAATTTTTTTTTTACCTGAATGCTCCGGTTCATACCTCTTTGGGCACATGTACCCCAGGTTGGGAGTCACTGCTCTGGGCAGTCATATAGGGCAACTCAATCAGCACAGGGGCTGTGGCTCTCATTAATCTAGTTCATCTGAAGTGCAAGACTGTGAGTAGTACTCCTGAAATTCATATATAATTTTACAGTTACTAATTAAGTGTACCAGGATTCCTTAACTTTATAGGGTGGAGTCAAATCCTTTTTAGAATTTTTAGCAAAATCTATTTACTACCAGTCTACCTTTCTTTCTCAAAAAGACTTGTTGTGTAAGGAAGTTGCTTTTATCATGTTTCATGTATCAAATAGATCTAATCTTTGTTATATCTGACAGCTTTTCATAATATTCCTTATTTTTCAGTTCTTTCTTTGGACATTTTTTTTTGGTTTGTCTCCTAGTGTTTGATTAAGGGAAAAAAACACTTATCCAGGTCTGAGAATGACATATTCAGCTTTGCAGGGTAGGGGGGTGGCAGTGGCCACGGGGACGCTATACAAACTTGCAAATACACGCTTGTGTAGAGACTAAGAACAATTATACCATTAGAATTTCAGCAGTCTGTAAAACGGGGAAGAGAGGTGCATTAAGTTTATACACCTTTGTTGCATCCCCCCTTACTTGCTTTTTTCTTCACTGTCAGTGGCATCCCAAATTATTACATTTCCCTTGCTTCTTTTCAAAACATTTAGATAGACTCTCCAAGGCTCAAGTAGGCAAATGAGGGCAGCTGTTTGAATCAAACCTCACCCCAGTGCTTCTGTTGGAAAGAAAACAATTCTCACCTGGCTTCCTGGACTTTATTTTGATCAGGATTAAGGCACTGATACTCTTCGATATAACCGTGGGAGCAGTTAATCGTTGTAACATCCGGCATGCAAACTGCAATGAAATTTGGCCTCAGGCGTCCAATTGACACTTTGGCGATATCTGTGAAGGACTGGCTGATGGCACAACCAAAGGCAAAACAGCCCACTTGCTTGTACAAAGCTGCCACGTACGGGTTCTGGATGAAGGACCGGGATGTCTCCTTCAAGTAATGGATCCGATAGAACTCTCCTATTATAATCTGCAAGAAGCAAAATAGTTTTCCAAAAAATATTTAGAAGGAAATAGGAAGCCTCTGGAGTGCATTTTTCTACAAAGTATATTGACAGGTTAATTGATCACTGGTCAAGAAAGGTAGCACATACCCCTCTCTTCTGCTCTGTGCAGACTGCTGAAACCTTTTCTGCAGCTGTGTGTTAACACGGCCGCTGAAAGAAGCACAGCAGGTACTTGGGGCTTTTATTCAGTGGCAGCTCTCCACACAACAGTACCAATGAAGGAGGGCCTCGTGTGTACAGCTCGTGTGTACAGGAGGAGATCATAACCAAGTGCTTAATTCTGAACCTAAGGTAAAGGAGATTCTGGCATTTTTCTGAATCATTTGGAACTTTGGGTATGTAAGTGTAATGTGCATATCTATCTTTAGAAGGCCTGTCACATCTAAGAAAAGCTTAGTGGAGGAGCATGTGCTGATTTTCCCTGTACCGAAGAGTCCTGTGTTTTTACCTTCCCATTCCCTGCATGCTCACTCAAGGAAGTAACTTCTGCATGAGGTAAGATTGTTGCATTTATTTCCTTATTACACACATAGCCTGCCTTTCCTCCAAGAAGGCTCACACAGCCTTCCTCCTCTGCATTTTATTCTCGCAACAACAATTTGAGCTAGGTTATGCCAAAAGTGGGTGACTTGCCCAAAGTCACCCAGTGAGCTTCGTAGCCAATGGGGACTCTAACCGAGGTCTTCCTGGTCCTACTCTAATACTGCCCACCACACCACACTGGCTGGCAGGCAGAGGCATGGAGAAAACCCTGTCAATTGCTTCCATGTTGTAAACACAGCCACAGAGTTTTGGGAGGCCCAAAAGTCATAATTGTAAATGTGTGCTTTGCAGCTACATCCTTTTATTTGTTTTTATTCTGGAATAGGACCACGGCCCCTGATGCAAACTGGGACAATCATGTGGGGGTACGGGGCTTTTTAAGACAGGCTCCTGCCCCTAACAAGTCGAAGCTTCTTAAAAATAAAATACACAGTTGTAGACACAGATTGAAAGTAAAGCTTGGTTTGGCCTGACCAAATCAGATGGACATCAGCTGAAGCAATGCAAAGGAGCAAGAGGTGCTGGCACTGCTGCATGGAGGGCAGAATACAAAGAACTGCCAGTGTTTGCTTCTTCACTGAAGGGGGAGCCCTCGAGATCTGCCTGGGGAGACAGTTACACTCACATCCTAGTTGCAGACCACCTGCAACACAATTTGCTCTGCCATACACTGGTGAGCAGCTGGAATGGTGGGACAAGCTCATGCTCAGGGTTTGTTTCTGAAGCCATCCTGCTTCACTATAGGAGACTGCAGTTAAGCTGGGGGAGGCAATGCAGGTTCCCAGTTGCACTGGTTGCTTCTTTCCCTTCCCACCCACTGTGCTTATGGGTGCATCACATTCATTTGTGTTCCTTGTCTTCTGGTTTGTTTTTCAAAGCCAGAGTTTTTGGGAAAATCTAGTATTTCACTCACAACTGCAAATATTTAGGGTCTTTATTTGAGAAAAAACCCAAGTGGTAACTCCCTCTCCACTGCATGCATCTTGGGAGGGAAGGGAAGGTGCTTATTAGTATACAGACAGACAATATGCCCCAAACCATTACCCATCCCAAAGCTATTAGGCTGCCCTATAAATATAACCCAGGATTCAATATTAAATCAAAAGACTTTGGGGCAATGTCTTGCTGTTACAAGGTCTGCAAAAAGAGAATTATCATAATGTCTTCTATTCAGTGCCTTAGCCAACAGGCATGACAGACCCAAAGGTATCATTAGGAAAACTGGTCTGGCGGCTTTCATTTGAAGATCCTATCTGTTCCATGCTGCCTAAACACAAAGGCAACAGAATAAAATATACAAGGTGTGGGAGCATTTGGCATAATTATACCACTCATTGGGCAACTGTTCCTGAAATATAGCAAGATAGGAGCTTCAGGTATAGTCAAAAATAGCAACTGATTCCACAGACACAACCATTCCTAAGTTGGCCCATTAGGCCCAAACCTGTCTCCTGTATTGCTAGCTCTAAAAATGCTACGTTTGTAATTGTTTCTGACTCAGTGGAGGAGGACACCTAGGCTGGTTCCCATGGTTTTGTAACAAGAGTTAACATAAATGAATCTTCACAGAATAAAATGATAAATATTGAGACAGTAAAATGATATCACAGGGTCTTATGACATATTGGTGAAACCACCCGAAATGCTGAACAATCTAGTGGTTTCTTTTCTAGCATTGCTCCATCTAATTCAGCCTTTCCCAATATGACACCCTCCAAATGTTTTTTACTATACAGCCATCATCCCCAGCCAGCATGTCCATGGAGTATGCTGGCCAGAGATGGTGAGAGTCTTAATCCAAAACAGCAAGAGGGTATCAGGCTGAGGAAGGTCGATTTTTTTTTTTTTTTGCAGTTCGTTGATGCACTTTGATAGGGGCTCTATGAATAATAAATAAATTCATAAGCTGTTCTCTCTATATGTAACCATGAGATGAAATTTGTACAAGAAATCTGATGTTTCACAGCTTCACTTAGAAGGAACTAGAAGAGTTGTTTTTTGTTCTAACTCTGCCTACCCCAGCATTTTCTCGCCGCCTCCACACCCTGATGTATCAACTCCTGGAATGTTCTAACCATCATTTCTAAGGGACATGCTGGCTGGGGCATGCTGGGAATTGTAGTCCAACAAATTACCAAGCTGTAAGTATTCATATTTCTTCATAGTTGGGCCCACTGAAGGGGAAATGAAGACTTTGGTGAACTGCTGGCCTTTGGAACTCATTTGCCAAATATATTATTTATTTATACAGCAATTTTCATATTCAAGTCCCGAGTTCTTATCTCCTTGCCACATTCATGGAGAATCCTGGAGGAGTGTCTGTTTCACAAATCTGTGATTGTTGCAAGGACAGTCACTTCAGGCAGGACATGGATGGAAGAGACATACATAAGAGGGTGAAAGGAATGCATATAAAGAATGCATACATATGGAATGTATGCATGTGTAGGAACTGAGCCTGCTTCTCTGAAAATACTGGGAGAATTTGGTTAGGTGGTTAGCTCAGATTCTGAATTTAATCAGAAAGAACATTAAAAAAACTGCTGGGCTGACCAAAGGTCCATCTAGCAACCAAGTGGCAAACCAGCTGCCCCCATGATCCCTCCAGCAGGATGAATGCAAGATCTCCTCCCGCCCAAGCTCCTCAGCAACTGGTGTATGCAGGCATGCCACCCCTATAAAAGAGGTAACATATAGCCAGCTGAGTCTCTTCTTCCATGAATCTGTCCAATCTGTTTTTGAAGCTATCCAGACTGGTGGTCACCACTAGTCCCTATGGTAATGAACCCCATAGGTCAGCAATAGGCAGGGTTGGAATTCTTGGCTGAAATACCAAGGCTAGCATGTCCAGCAACTGGTGAGAGCTGGGCCACCTCTGTTTTGAGCAAAGACACTGTGGAACAGGAGCTGGTAGATGCAACATGATTGGTCCCATAGCCTCTGGCATCTGGTCAAAGAAGCAGATCAGCTGGGTCGCGCCTGATAGTCCCAATCTCTGTCCACAAGCTGGGAGAAACTCCATCAGGGTGAAGTTAGCTCTACTTGGCAGGGAAGGGAGGGTGGGAATTCAGTTTGGAACACACTTCTTGGGATGAGTGGTAATCTCTTTAATTAGCTGGTTTTCAAACTTGATTGATGCCTTTTGTATCACAAAGCCAGCCTAGCTGGCCTATTTTAACATGACTGTAGTTGGAAGCACCTTGTCTAGGAAAGAGAAAGGGACTGATGAGATGGTTGCCAACAGCATGAGCTGCACATTTGAGTGCACAAGGAAGAAGCTACATTGGTATACTGTTTTCTAGGTTGTAGAACATGGGAAGACCTATAAAACATGCCACTTCATATTTTGCATTTTAGCTGAAATTCTAAAATATTTTCAGCGAATAACTAAAAATCTAACATTTGATTGCAATAAACAGAAGTGCCCTGGGCCAGAAGCCAGGTTCTGCTACATCTTCTTGTTAAGTGTACAGTCATATAGTAAGTAAACTGCTTTTTATTATAATTTCATAAATGTTGAGAAACAGGGGACTAATCCAGACTTGTACATACTTTTCTGTTGCGGCCCTACTTTTGCAACAGACCTGTTCTCAGTAGCATGACCTAGCCACCCCTGAACCATACTGTTTTAAGTATTTCCTGTGCCACATCTAGAAGGAGCATTCTAGACTTGACGGTAATACTATCAATCATCATTACGAACTTAGTTGCTTGGCTTTCGTAACATCTTACATCTTAAAAGGCAATTTAATGAAAACCAGGCTGTGAAATCAATTCCAAATGTCACACATCTCTGAAAGAAGCAGAACGCTTAAATTGTTTTTTGTCACGTTACCCAAGTTAATTTTTTGAGCTCCAGTTTTACAATGTTAGGATTTAATTAATTAGTTCACTGTTTCTATACCTCAGTAATAAAATGGGTAATTTTTCTATGTTTCTTTCCCCCACTACTACAACCTTTCTGTTCCACCTAACACTAAAGGCAGAAAAATGCCTTCGTAAAAATAGACTGCTAAAACACCCGTAACATTATTCTCGGCAAGGGAGCCTGCCAAATACATGAAAATATATATTCTCCCTGACTTATGTGTCTCCCCTCTCATTGTACCAATATGGTTAAAATGAAACTGAAGCAGTATTAGAACTTTTTGACTACCCAATGAAGCAAAACAAAACCATAATTTTCAAGAATTACACATCAGCCAAGCTTCTATTGGAAGCTACACACATGCGAACCTTTAGATGCTTCTGGGAACTTTTTGTTTTTTTTCCAAAATTGCTACCCAACCCATACATATGCATATATACAGCCAAGATACATTTTATTTACACACACACACACACATACAGTTATCTTCCCTCGGGCGTTCAACGTATTCTCGGTATCAGCATGAAGAAAAAGGAATAATAAATTGAAATAATTTTTATTTTTCAATATAATCCCCCATAACTTCAATACACTTATTACATCTAGAAATTAACTTTTCAATTCCCTGTAAAAAATACCCTTCCTCCTTGTCTAAAAAATGTGTGTTAATTGTCACCTGGAGCTCTTCATCGCTTTCCACGAAGATCTTTTTTTAAATTCGGGAATAGGTAGTAGTCACTGGGGGCCAGGTCCGGGCGATAGGGTGGGTGGTTTATTTCTTCGAAACCACAGTCTTGCACAGCAGCCTTCGAAACACGCACCATGTGAACAGACGCGTTGTCGTGAAGAAGCAACACACCTGCAGTCAGTTTTCCCCACCTTTTTTCTTTAATTGCTTCTCTTAAATTACGCAGAGGGGTTGCGTAAGATGCTGCGTTTATGGTTTCACCTTTTTTCGTGTACCCGATCAATAAAATTCCAGTCAGTCAGTCAGTCAGTCAGTCAGTCAGTCAGTCAGTCAGTCAGTCAGTCATATATTTAGAGTATTTGTATGCCGTCCCATCGCATAGCCTTGGGACGGCTTACATAAAATAAAACATAATAATTGAGTCTCAAAACACTGAGGTCATGATTTTTCCGGCCGATGGAGTGACTTTGAATTTCTGCAGAGGGTCAGCACTTTTTTTATGCCACTGCATGGACTCCTGCTTACTTTCAGGGTCATAGTGATGAACCCAAGTTTCATCTACAGTAACAATCCGGTCGAAAATACTCGATGGATCTTCACCACAGAGCTCTAAAAACTCCCTACAGCACTCGACTCACACTTGTTTCTGAGGCGCCATGAGCATTCACGGCACCCATCTTGCACAGACCTTTGAAAGCTTAAGATGGTCATGAAAAATAGTAAATATGGTACCAATGGATAGGTTTGTCATCTCTGCTAACATGTTGATTTTTATTTGGGCATCTTCCAATACAAGTTTCTCAATTTTTTTCACATTTTCTTTTGTAGCGGCAGTAACTGGCCTGCCCGAGTGAGGGTCATCTTCAATGCTTTCTCTGCCCCTTTTAAAATTCACTTGACCACTTTTGAACAGTAGATAATGAAGGTGCAGAGTCCTGGTAAACAGTCACCATCTCTTTGTGAATGATTTTTTGACTTTTTCCTTGTTTTGTAAGGAACTTAATCACGGCGCAGTGCTTGATTTTCTTCATTGTGTCAGTCATCATGGTCATCTTTCACTGAGGATTACTAGGAAACTAATGATCACACTTATTTGAAGTTTTGCATGTATACCCTCAGAGCCAAGGTTCCATTTGGATGCCAGGAAGCACTTCCTGACAGTCAGGACCCCGAGGGTGTGGAATGAGCTTCCCCGGGAGGTGGTTGAGGCCCCATCGGTGCGGGTGTTCAAGGATAGGCTGGACATCCACATGGTGGGCATGTCGTGAGCGGAGCCGGCTGGTGCCGGAGGTCAGACTAGATGGCCCGGGAGGCCCCTTCTGACTCGCTCTGTTTTCTATGTTTCTATAGTGTCATTAGCTAATGAAATAATTAAATTACCCACATCAATAGCAAATCAACCCGATACCAAGAATACATTGAACAACCAGTGTTGTTTATATAAAATTATTGTTTATACTTTCTTAGTTGTCCTCCCTTGGATAACAGGGCAGCAGACCATACTCAATGTAGAATACAATAAAAACAATGTAGTGCAATACAACATCTTTCAAACATAAATAAGAGGCAACAAGGCCATAGAACTACAAATCAGAAAAGGTGCAATTAAACTAGTTTTAAATGCTTGTACAAACATTTACTTTCATTTTTATTTATTATATTTGTATGCCGACCCATAGCCCATAGGGCTCTCTGAGTGGCTTAAAACAGAACAAACAAAAAAAGAGAAAAAAAGGACATAAGTACAAAACATAACCAATTTGCTCTGATGCCAAAAAGACTGTAGTAGCATCAGCACCAGTTTAACTTCCCTACAAATATTGTTCTGGCATCAGGGTGCCACCACAGAAAAGGACCTTTATTTGGTACATCCAAAAATGCTTTACGAATTGGTACTCAGAAGAGTCACATGTGGAGATCTTAATGCATGGGCAGGATACAAATTTGCTTAGCAGACTCAGAAAGAGGAACTTTTTACAGGTGACCTGTGCCCACAGAGATGTTCAAGAAAACATACAGATGTTTTGGAAAAGGAGATTCTGTTTTAGGATATGTCTTGCTTCTTATCTGAAGTAGTGGTTGCTTCTGCCACCTCCTTATCCTCCTAAAAGACTATAAGTCCCTAAATTATATGCAGCCAAACACTTCTCAGAATGTGTGAGAAGTGCTGGATATTTTGTTAGAACTCCACAGGGAAAAGCAGAAGGTATTCTAGACAGAGGGTATTAATGACCACAGTGAGCACTTCCACAGATACAATTCATGTTTTTTTCCTTCTGAAAATCTAGTTTTCAGGACAGAAGATGCAAGTAGTTAAAGGGTGGAAACTGGATGATGCAAAGGTGGGGAAATGAAATTCTGAGTATCTTTGGCTATTTTATATATAAAACCTAGAACATGTGTGAGTTTGCTAACAAAAAGAAAAGTTGGAGGAAAAGCTGTATGTGCCATATCCACTGAAAAGGTGCCACATTTTTCCAAATGGAAACTAATATCAAGGTCCCATGGGCTTCCCAAAGGCTGTCTAGGTGTAGAAGCCACTCTGCTCCAGTACCAGATGCAAGCACTGGCGGAATGCTGTCCATTTGATGGGTTATCTGGTTTCTGGGCTATCTTTAAATGCAGGGGAGCCAGGAGTAGGTTTGTATGCAGGATTAATAGAAATATTTGAATCTCAGTATCTTCTTAGGGCAGAATACAGTTAATTTTCCACCTGTTTACCCAGAGACAGGGCCTCCCTTTAACAGATGTTGCACTAGTCTTTCAAATGTACTGCTCATTTAATGGAGGATGAATCTCTTACAACCCCCCATGGCTAGTGTGGCCACTTGGGAAGATATATGCATGCATGCAAAAGTGGCCTGTAGAAGAATTACATTTAAAAATATAACTAAGCACCAAGGAAATGTATAACCATCAGTATTTTGAAAGAATTTGTCTGCTTTCTTGCTGTCCTGGGAAATGGATCTATGACATAAAACAACCTTTCCCAATCTAGCTGCTTCCAGATTTCTTGGACTACAAAAGTCATGCTGGCTGGATATGGTTCTCTGTGTGTATGTGTGTGCTGTAGTCCAGTGTGTAAATTGTCAGTGCAAAAAATAGGTATCTGTATTTTGCAGAGATTGAGACTTTTGCCCAATGCAAAGTGAGCTGCTTGGTGGGACAGGGTGATAATAAACTGAATTAAGGAACAAGAATAATAAGAATAAACACAACACTGGTCTGTCCTTAGTATTCATAAATATATTCTGTCTCTGGAAACTGAAGGTGCCTGCTCTGAGAAAGACATTGAATATTCTGATCAGGGCCAACTAAGTCTAGGGATTAATATTTTCTTTCACTGCTGGTGGCCTTAGTAATTGTACAGATGTAACAGGCTGTAAATTGGAGACCTGAGCACACACCAGCATACCAATATGTTGTAGTGACCTGTCCCTGCTTCAGCTGAAGTCATGGCCTAACCTTCAATGAGAAGCTGAACTAGAATAAACTTGTTCTTTTGGCAAAGCTGTCCCCACTTTTTAAATAAAAAATAAAAAGAAAGCAAGCCCAAGGAACTAATTCAGCACAGATGTGCAAAAGCTGAAACTTCATCCTGAATAAACAAGACTTAAAGATACTAAGCTCCTCTTCTAACTTGGGTCTCCAGCAAGTATTGTGGATGTGGTGTGAACTGCTGGAAATGCTTAAAGGGGAGCAAAGCTGGAACGAAACAAAAGTGCAAAACAGCCAGTGTGGCTAATCTGTTGGACTAGGGACCTGATGTGGCCACAAAGTTCACTGGGTGCCTTTGGGACAGAAACTGCCTCTCAGGCTAACCTACCTTAAGGTTTTTGTTGTTGCGAAGATAAGACTGAGAGGAGGAGAATTATGTAAGCTGCCTTGACTTCCTTGAAAGGAAAAAAAGTAAACAAAATAACAAAGAGAGTCTGTGATGTAGCACTTAGAGTGCCAGACTGGGTGATGGGAAAACTGGGTTCTAGTCCCACATGGCCATGAAACTTACTGGGTAACTTTGGGTCAGTAATTCACTCTCACCTAACATACCCAGCAGGGTTGTTGTGAAAGTAAAATGGAGAAGCGATGGAGGAAAACCATAGCTTCCTTGCAGGAAAAAGATGGGGGGATACACTAAATAAATAAATAGGCACTGATTTTGCTTATTCTCAATTCATCCATTCAGTTGTTATTTTAAGATAATATGTTATGCCAGTTCTTGAAGCTGAGAATACATAAAACATTAACACCTAAAACAGAACCCCAAAAGTGATCTAAGGTCCAGATGACTAGTTCAAGCCCATGCTGACTTCACATGTGCTTCTTTTCCAATGTGCAAAGATCCTGGTGCAATATAGCTCTCTGGAGGGCAGAAAGCACTCAGTACATTTCTAACTCTATTTTCAGGCAATGCAGAACAATCCTACGCATGGAGCAGCATGTGCTCTCTGTCTCTGTTGCAGACCGCATCTGCAGTAGTGCAGCAGCAGAAAAACTGTCAGGCGTTTGCCAACGAATTCTGGCAGCAGACTGCCACACAGGCTTTAAAAGGGTAACTTTAGCTTTAGAACATACTATGCTGGTCCTTTTTAAGCCCTCGTAGCAGCTTGCAGCCAAATTTCACAGTAAATGACGGACTGGTTTTCGCCACTGTTGCATCCCTGAATTGCAGCCGAGTGGCAGAAGTACTGCTTGTGGTGGGGGGACGTGGAAGTTACGCCAGAGCCCCCTGAAGTTGCCTGCTTTCACAGGCTGTCTAAAGCAAAAATAGCCATGCTGAACATCCAAAAAACCCAAATCCAGCGCCCATTATTACTTGTGTTACACCAACATAAGGTCACCAAATAGTGGGCCCACATTTGAGTCCTCTAGAACTCTCAAGGACAAGGTGAAGGCAGGGAGTGTATTTCCATATAAGCGTATAAATGGGATTGGCAGCCTTAACTGTCCAAACACAACCAGCTTCTATAAATGAGCAAAGATTACACTAATGGCAAACCTGACTTGTGAAGTTCATTCTCAATAATGAAAGCAAAAATTCTATATACCAAAGGCAAGAGAGGAGGCTTGCATTTCCCCAGGCTATCTAGGTTCCAGAAACAATTGGTAAATATCCTCCCTTATAAGCAAACAAAATGATGGTTCATTACGAAGGGTTGGGGGATGGGGACTGCCATTTCAAAATGTGACCTTCAGCTTGTAGCACTGAACACTTCGTTATGAAACATGATCAAACATGGAAGATACGGAAAAAGAAATAGCATAATTTCTCCTTTGCCTGTAGTTCCCTTCTTGTTTCATCCTTAGTTTTATAGTGACAAGAAATCCCAGCAGTTTAGAAAAGATGGGCTTGCAGGCTTACAGCCTAAATCAGGAGCTCAAGTCGAGGATCAAGGAAAAGAAGTTGTGGTGTCATGCCTCCACATACAGATTCTTCCATTCTTGTCTGACAGAACGGTATAGGCGCAAGTGGTCCACCTATATGATGGATTTGAAAAAATAATCTCCACTTTAATTTCTCAAGGGAAAAAGTATTTGTCAACCAATCTTAATAAACTATCGAATTCAGTTAATGTAAGTCAAACAGAAAGAGATGAAAAATCATGGGCATGGGTCTTAAATGCTATCATTAGTATAGAACAATGGCTCCTTTATGCAATAGAGCACCTTTGATGTCAATTTTTTAGAGGATGAGTGAAAATGTTTAAAATATTAGACTTGGCTGGCATGTCATACTACTGAAATGGTATCAACAATTTCTATCAACCATGCCTCCAGAGCTCATTGCTGGCGGTGCGGTAACTCTAAAGGAACTCATTAACCTCTGTGGTGAGACTGCTTCCCTGCCCATACAGAGGTTTGGGAACTCATATTCAACTGTGCTAGTGATGTGGCTCAGCAATGCGTAATGCCCTCTGCAACTGCTGGACTCCACTGTACCTTGGAGCAAATACAAAAAACCGTTAGCCTATATTTGGACCGAGACACAACTAGAAATAGTGGCAAAGTAGAGGACTATCTATTATCAGACTTCCATCTCTATTGGGCCCTTGGGACACACTCTCTCTCATACACACATGCAACTACTCAAGCTCCAGTGTGTTCAAGCAACATTTTACGTAGTTGAAAATGCAGTTTTATGTGATTTGTTAGCCATTTATTGAATGAGCAAATATGAATACAGGCACCAGCTTCCCATGGTCAACTCTGGAGAAACCATCAGGGCATGAAATGGCTTGGAATAACAGGAAAATATGTTCTCCCCATCAGATATTCAATATCAGATCATTTAAAGATTGGACAACCACATGTTGGGGATTATTTGAGCAGAGCTGGTTGGAGCTGGGGGTCAGACCAGATGACCCGGGAGACCCATTCTGACTCACTTTTTTGTATGTTTCTAATATAGGACCAATAATTAAATGAAATATGTTAAGATGAATGATGGCTGATGTATTGATTATTTAATATTTATTTGTTTAATAGTTGAAAAACCATTTTCCCGCCGTTAAAAAAACACATGGAAAGTGCTATTTAGAAGCAGAAGTAAAACTGGAAGGTCACAACATCATCTATAAAACCCATAAAAAATCATTCCTAGGGAATGAAGAATTTTCTACAAAAATTCTTTGTGTAGAAAAGCTCGTGCAAAGAGAAGGACCATCAGTTACTAATATTGCCAGTTTGCCAGGAAGGGGACGTTTTCATAGCTTCAGCCATGAGTTGTGGATAAAATGAGGCACTAAAGGGTCAGAAATAAAGGCAGGGTAAGATATATTTTGGGAATATTTAGGGGAGGTCTGGAAAGCACAGTCCCTAATGCAATCAGTGTCTCAAGGGCCTTGTGTATTCACGTCCTTCCATGTACTGGAGGAGGCAAAGGTCACAGCCTCCACTGTTTACTTAATGAGAACTTTGTGGTCCCTGCAAGCCCCATAAAACACGACCTAGACCTTTAACTCTAGATGAGAGCCTGAGCTGATGATACCATTTTAAATAAAGGGTTAGCAGTGTGAAAATGATGCCTGACTTATTGTCCCCCAATGGCTCCACATCAGCCACATCGTATGGAAAGGGAAGAAGCTGCACACTATGAATTTGGGAGAATTTCATATTATGCAGCAATAATCCTACACAATTGATTATGAATCTTGTGGGGAAAACGCTATATGGTGTGTGGGGGAAGATGTATTTGTTTGGAGTTAAAATCTCCCCTTTTCTTTGGATGGCCTATTATAAAAGATTTCTACATCAAAAGCCTCCAACAGTGGGTGCTATGAAAAGAGAAAGGTGATGTGTGGCCCAGGCTTGTCTGCCTGTCTAGTCATACGCAAAATGATTTTAAAAACAGGTGGCAGACAGTTTATTTCAGATTAGAGCAGTCAGAGCTTCCATGGATCTCCTGGCTATTGTTCATGGTTATACCAAGGAGCCTGCTACTAGTAGGAAAAAGCAAATTATTTTTACTTTATTGCGGGAATTTGACTGAACAGAAATAGTAATCTAAAGAATTATCCTGCGCCATTGGCCATGCTGACTGGGCAATGAAAGGAGCAGTAGTCCAGTACCTTTGGCGGGTGCTGTGTTATATACAGCTGATATAAGATTGTGTCAGGTATTGGACAAAACATGAGTTAGAGATGAACGTTATGGTACATTCTGTTTATCTCTTTGCAAGCTGTATCTTTTATATTTGAGTTTATTGACATAATAAATGACATGACTATTCCACACATTTTGCCTCAATAGATAAATCAATGAAAATCTGCTTCTGCACTTGCCTGTTAAGAGACATAATTAATAACAGCTTCCACTGTATTTTGCATTTTCCAGACCAGGTTACTTTTGTTGTCAAAAGACATCCAGCAAGCACAAAAGCAGCTATTTAAAGCAGAGCTGTGGGGATTTTCTCACTTTTTCCCAGTTGCCAGTTAGCTGCCATTTGCATTAGAAAGCTGATGAACAATATAGTCAGATTATTAAGTTTCCACTCACATTTGAAGCTTTAATATGGAACACTGGCTTGTCCCAATCAGAAGCAGATTCTGCAACTGGTGGTGTGGTAGGCAGTATTGCCAAAATCAAAAGCTGTGGCTCCGCTGGTGCCCTCCCCCACCACTTTCATTAATGGCTTTTAAATAATAGGAAAGTTTTCCTGGAGGAGAAAATTCCTTCTTGTTTATAAGCGTGTTCATTGCTGTATGAATGCAAAACAACTGATTGTTAGTTGGTAGTCCACTTATTAAAAACATACTCTATTTCTTTCTTCACTTACAAAGAGCATTGTTCTTACATTTCAAAGAAAAGGATGCACTAATAGATACGTATGGAACAAACAAAACTATCCGGAAAGGGGAAAACCACCCACCTGTTACACAGACCCAACATGATTACCAAGTTGAGGAGACATGATAAGCCGCATTCAGGGGTTGACTATGGGAAGAATATGTGTTGATGCTAAACCATAGGTTGCTATGGGTTTTCATGTTGATGGAGCCCAGCTGTACTAACAAGCCAAAACTTAACCATGAACAGTGAAAAGAAACCATAGTTTGTTGGGTTTAGAAACTCGGTTGTTCACCACAGTTCATCTCAGTTGGGTTCAGACAACATGATGACCCATGTTTCATCAACATCCCTCAGTTCAACAATAAGCCACACTCAACCCTTAAGTGACATCACACCCAGTCAATGGCTGACCAACCCAATCACAGAAAGCTCAGTCACATAAACATGGGTTTCACTATAGATTGCTCTCTGCCTTCATTCTTAGGTGGCTAAGGATGAAGGCAGAGAACGCCCCCATCGCAACAAAGCCTCGGGGCAGCTCACAACAAGAACAAAATATAACAAATTATACAATAAAAATATTTAAACCCGGTGCATCTCGGCTTAAGATTTAAAATCCTATAAATAACCAATAAATTAACAATTAAAATAAGTTTTAAATAAAAAGGTCTTAGCCTGGTGCCGAAAAACAAATAATGACGTCACCAGGCGGACATCTCTGGGGAGCGCATTCCAAGCGCAACTTGGATCGTAATGAAAGTAATAATTCTTTTAGAATCATCTGTGTAAATATCCAATTGCCCTAAAATGGTGATACCCTTACAAATGCCATGTGGGTCCACAGTTTGTCTTTTCATGTAGTATAAACTTCTGTTACAATTAGATTTACAATTCATCTGTCATAGTGTGCCATCAACACCATGCCTTATATAACATGCAGTGCCAAGCCATAACTTGGTGCTATGAAAATAAAGCCTCATGCTCAAGTCTACCCTTTTCCCCTCATGAGCTCAGCGATTAACTACTTTCCTCCTGTTTTTGCAAACCGTCATTTCCTGACACAGCCAAACCGTACTTCCCACTTGCTCTGCAAGCTAAGATTACAAACTATGGTTCATTCCTATTCAGCAGGGCAAGAGCAAATCGTAGCTTGCCCGATTAGACATAACAACAAGCAACAGTTTGCAAAGAACAAGAGGCTAACTAAAAAGTAACACAAACTCTTCTAGGTTTGTTCTCATAGCACCAAAGCATAGTTTGATATCACTTCTGAACTGAGGCCTTAGGTTGTTAGAAATATGGCCTGCAATGCAACGACATAGGCAGATTTCATGGATATGTCTGGACAGTAACTATCCATTTAATACAATAAAAATACAGAGTTATCTCCCTCAGAGAAACAGAATCCTATTCAGTGATGAGGAAATTTTAGTAGAAATCCACCAAAAAAGTATATGTCAGCAGAATTATCTATCTTAGTGCAAAGCATGTTGGGAAAATAAACCATTGCTCTTTCCTTTTATTCTTCCAGGTTTCAAATTTCACTTCAAAATAGTATGTCTGCTTACTATATATCAGAACTGAATACAGTCTGCAAAAAATTTCCAGACAGCAGCTGACTACAAGGCAAAGCATACTTCATAACCCAACATGAAGTATGGGATATGTAAATACCACAAAAATTATCAGTGCATGGGCAATGTTCTCCAAATCCTTTAAGACTAGCAAATTCTATTTGGCCCAAGAAGGGCACAATTGCTGAAAAGGCTGAAAAAGAGCTAAAATTGCTCTTTTGTTGTGTAGGGCAGCTTATGGGGTCTGGCTTGCTTGTACAGCTCTTGCTTGTACACCTTGACTTCTACAGCTCTGAGTTTTCTTACTCACACACTTCTGCATCAGATATTTAGTACTTGCATGTGCTAGATTCCTGGCTAATCATCTAGTCTCATCTTCAGTGCTTGGATAGTGCTATCTACACTTCTTTAATCTATCAATATAAAGAATGGCTTCAGAGATAGTTGTATCTTCTACCTGAAGTTATGATATCAAAGGCAGTTAGTCCACAAGCCCTTTTCTTTAAGACAGGCATGCAGAACCTCAGGCCAACAGGCCGTAATTGTCTCTCCTTGGATTTCCATCTGGTATTTCAGGCTTCTCCAGAATGACAAGCTCCTTGCTGTGGCCTCATCCCATTTCCCCAACCACTGATTGTCTGGTGGCTTCCTAGCTTTTGTGTAGTCTTTTCCCCATTCTGTAGGCTGCATTGCCTCGCCAAAGGGTTAGTAGCTGGCAGTAAGAACTGATGCTCTTGTTGTCTTGGCTCTGCCCTTTTGCTTTTCACCTCATGCAAGATTAGAATGTGGCCCTGAGAGCATTTCCAAACTGGAATTTGATCCTTGCCCTGAAAGAAGTGAAGCACACCAGCTTTAAAGGGCTGTTCAACACAGAATCCTCATTGGGATGCATACTTATGGCATGATAAAAAAACAGCAGTTCCCCACTCAAAGGCACTAGGAATTATTTTATAACAAGCTGTTTGAGAGTTTCATTCTAGATGAATGACTATCCAGTTTGGGTTAATTTCACAAAGGACATAAGTTTCAATTCCTAGCACTGATTACCCAATATATCCTAAATCTATTAACGAGCTGTAACTAAAAAACAGCCTGGTTATTCAGTGCCAAATGTCAGTTTAAAGTACTGAGTTCCATTGCTACCTGATTAAGAGATGCATATAAGAAACCGCAACTGAATTATGCTACTTACAGCAAGGATAGCAATAAGAATTCCTGCAGCACAAAGAACAGCATCGTTGATGGTCTCTCCACTTTTCAGAGGATACCGGATGCTTTCATCATTACAGTAAAATCCCCGTTTATAGGGTGCGATTGTGCTTGTTTCAATGATCAGAAATGGAAGGCCAGCTAGTAGTTAAGGGGGGAAAAAGCACAAAAGAAAAGAGTGGTTAGAAACACAGATACACATTGAACAACTTGGATACAACCAAGGATAATTCTTGTTGACTACCAAGCAGAACCCAATAAAGATTTGCAATTCAACTTGTCCAAAACAGTGAAGAAATAGACAGGTTCATTTTTTTCTCCTAGCAAAAATACAGAATGACTTTTCAGTCAATGTCATTAGATAGAAATGCAAATTTAGGTCTTTAGAACAACAGCAAACACCCACAACCAAACTTGGGATATAGATAATATCTATGACACCTATATATATGTAGATGGTTTCAATTTCTCAGCCTACTGAAGTGGTTTCTATATCCTCAAAGAATGCAAAGGTAACGATAACCGTTTGTTTGTTTGTTTGTTTGGGTATTTTTACCCCATCCAATACCCTGCGCATTTCTGGATGGCTTACAGCTCAAATCCAACAAATACATATATACCCAAATAATACAAATAATCTACAAACTGAGCATAAAACATAGTTAAAATATTAAACATTAAAAGTACGGAAGAATAAAAAGGTCTTGACCAGGCACTGAAAAGCATGTAATGTTGGCGCCAGGCGGACCTCTAGAAGGTCCTCCTCCAAGTAAGTTCTCACAAGGAACTGATCTGAGCATGACAAAGGAGTTAAACACAAATTCCTCCCTTCCAGATCACTATCTTCCTGCCCCGTTGAGAAAACCAGGTCCAGAGTGTGACTTCTTTCAGGGGCTGGGCCAGTGACATGTTGAGACAGCCCCATGGCTGTCATGGAAGCCATGAAGTCCTGAGTCATCCCGGTCAGAACAGCCTCGGCGTGGAGATTGAAGTCCCCCAGAACCAATATCTTGGGGGTCCTCAACACCAGGTCTGAGAAGATCTCCATTAGCTCAGGTAGGGAGCCTGATGGGCAGAAGGGTGCATGGTACCCCAGCAGGATCCCTAATCTGTCTCGATCACCCAACACCAGGTACAAACACTCTAGGCCTGGTCTCGAGGTGACCGGATGCCCCATGAGGGAAACTGAGGTTTGATGAACCAGAGTGACCCCCCTCCCCTCTCCACAAGGCATGGCTGGTGTTGGATCAGGTACCCAGGTGGGCACAGCTGAGTAAGGGAGACATCTCCCCCCTTCTCCCACCCAGGTCTTCGTAATGCATGCCAGGTCAACCCACTCATCCATGATTAATTCATGGATGAGTGATATTTTATTATGGACCGACCTGGTGTTCACCAACAGCACCGTCAGGCCAGAGGGGCGGTTGATAAAACTACCAGGAACCCTCTGGCTGGGAGAATAACCAGAAGAGGGGACAGATACGAGACATCCGTCCCTCCTTCTTCTTAGCTGACTTGTTAGACCCCCACTACCATATCTTCCCCTGCCCATTACCACCCCAATGGTGGCACCCTTGCACTCCCCAGGCATACCAATAACAAAATTAAATTTAAAACCTAGCAATAAAATACAGCTCAGTTGTGGTATACAATAAGATTAAAATAAGTTAACAGTAAAAATCCCCAAACCCCCCACAAATAAAAGAACAAAGTCCCTGGCCCAGCCCAGCCCCACATGGCCCCAAACGGCTCAGCACCCTTAGGCCGCTGCCCTTCAGCCGCCGGTCCTTGGCCACGGCCAGCAAGATATAGGCCGTGGCCCCTCCCCACAGCCTAAGCCCTGCTCCCCGGCACACCTGCCACTTATGCCAGGAGGCAGTCGGAGGAGCGAGGGCAGGCCCACGGGGAGCTCGCTGGCAGCAGCGAAGGGGAAGGAGGAGGAGGGGGAGGAAAATGGTGGCACGGCAGCAGCAGAAGCAGCGTTGCCCCAGCCTTCACAGCGTCCCTGGCCTTGCAGCAGTCCCTTCCACAGCGCCGGCGGGATCCGCAGCCATCATGCTTCATTCATTGAGGAATGAAGCCATCATGCTTCAGAAATGTCCTCTTAGTAAAAGGCAGGTGTCCAGAGATCTTGGCTAGACTTGGTAGCTTGCCAAAATTTTTGGAAGGAGTGGAGTCATCTCTCTCATGTCATATGGGCCTCCAAACATAGGTGGAAGCAGCTGACTTTGCTACTTGATAGGCTTGGTGCAGAATAAATACCCACTTCATTTTTGATATAAATGTTTATTCCTTGAATTAATTAAGTAACTTCACATTTCTGGAATTAATTGTGCAACCATATTACAATATATGTATGTCAATAAGGCAGTTCTGAACATTGTGCTCAGTTTGCAACTTCCTCAGGCTTGGGTGTATAATTGACAGATAAATATGAGCCTTTTGCTTTGCATGTATTTATTGCATTATCATCCTACCCTTACTTCAAGAAGCAGCATACATGGCTCTCCCCTTCACTAATATCCTTATTACAACCCTGTGAGGTAGGCTGGACTGAGATGCAGTGAGTGGCTGAGCAATGATTTAAACCTAGGTTCCAATCTATCACTGGTGTCTTGCATCTGGCAAACATAATTTCTCTCTGGATTTCAGCCATTTGCTCAGACACACTGTGCATTCAAATCTTTTTCATAAAAGTGTATTCTTCTCAGTGGAAAGGTCCTCTGCATGTGCACAAAGGCACAGCATAGTTCTAAATTCCCTTTGAATGACAACGATGAGCGTAGTTGGCAACTAGGAACTGGTTTCAGTTTTTTCAGTATGTTGGGTGGAGCTTTTAGGAGGCAGCAGCGCTGCAATTAAAGCAGGCCAAAGACTGAATCTTGCCTCAGTTGTAGCAAACCAGCACCTGTCACAGATGTGCAGAAAATATGGGACTGACTGTTTTCTTTCTTTGACTCCAGTAATACAGTTAGGGTGAATTTCCCATGGAAATGAATGGGAGGCAGAGATTCTTTGGGCCTGTAAAAGCTTCCAGTCTGGTGCACCAGTAAAAGTAGATGGAGGGGTTTGGATCTAAACAGAGATATAGAAAGGTGGGAACAAGCTTGTGTTTAGCATGAACTAAATTTTAGTTCCAGTGTTTTTCTTCTTTAACTTCTCAGTCCAGGTAACTGATTACCTCCAGCCTACTACCAGCATGAGTTCCAGTTCATTATATATCTAACCTTCGCTGGATATACGGGTTCAAATCATTCAACTTTACAACAGCCTGTAATTTATGGGATTCCAAATGTTACTAGAGTGAGCAACCTGAAATCAAGGGGTATAAAATTGCTGAAATAGGGAAAGGTGGGAAGAATCAAGGAATAATCAAGTTTAATAACTGTCATCAAAAGCTAAATGACAGCGAGTGAAGAGATTTTTTGATTGGGAAGAGGAAAAAGCTAGCCATTAATAGTTCACTGTTAATTCTAGCTGCTTTTGATCATAGCCTGATCCTACCTAAAAGGACTGTTTGGAAATTAATTGCATTTTTGTTTTGCTGGAGTGCACCATGCACTATTTGATTGCTTACCTATGATTCTTAAAGGAAGGCTTTGGTATTTCTTTCACTGTTGGGTGTTCAAGTGGATTTTAAAAACCTATTTGTTCTTATGTTTTAATTAAGATTCTGGTTTTAATCGGGATTTTATTGTTAGTCTTTTTTTGGCAGAAAGACAGATATAAAATACATCAGTGAAAAAAGAGCAGTATCCTACGTTACTCTAATTTAAGTAATATTTGTTTTAACAGATCTACTGTAAGTAGGAATAAGATTTACAGACTTAAATCCCAAAGGCTATAAGTAGCTTCAATGACTGCAACTCCTATCAATGGCCATGCAGTCTAGTGCTGGTGGGAACTGCAGACCAATACCTCTGGAAGGTGTCAGGCCAATACAAGTAATGAATCTCCTGCTTATCTCTGCAGGTGAAGTCAAGAAGTTTAATATATGCAGAAATGTCTGCTTTGCAACAGATTCATAAAACAGTGAATACATGTGTCAGCTGAGCTCTGATTTTGCAACTCAAAACATAGCATATTTTGTGCACCCAGACCATCTTCATTCCACTACCTAAACTGTGCTGGAACAAACCCAACATGGACACAGCATCTCCTTCCCAAGCCAACAATATATGATATTAATAGCCTTTAATAAAAAGAAAAAAAAAGCCCTTAGCATCCCAATGAAAAATTGCTGCCGAAAAGCTAACATGGCAGGATGTGATCCAGTTTCACATCCACTTGAAGCAGCAGTTTAATAGTCACACTTTGGGAATTAACCATACCATGGTTACGTGGCTTATTGTTATTGCTCTAGTTCCTCTTTTTAATAGTTTTCACATGACAGGTCTGTAAAACACATGTTCCCTCAAACAATAAAACATATCTGAGAGCTAAATCTGTCTTTAAAGCAGCAAGAAAAAGAAAAGGGGCAGGAGCTGGGGAACAAGACAATAGTGTTCCTGTATATTATGAGAATTCTGGACGAAGAACGATTTGTTTTCCCTTCATTCACTAAACAGCATGGGGGTACTAGGACTGCCACCATTATAATATAAGCATGACTTGACCTAGATTGTATATATTTTCTTTAAAGGCTACAGACATGGTTTTTAAAATCTGAGGGTTTTGTTTTTTCTCCCCTACAAACTTGTGGTTTAGTGGGATATTGCCAATTGAGTCTTGACATTTTTCCAGCACAACAGTAACCTCAGATTCCCTATTTTCATATGAGAAACATAAACATACCCTCTGGAGCCGAACGGATATTGCTCACAAAACCCACAACATGCCTAATTCTGAGGGCTGGGCTGGAGGCCATGCTTCGGATGGCAACCACTATCTCGACCAGGGCACACACTTCTCTTGCAATGAATACTGTGGTATCAACAGGGCCCTTGCTAAGTTTCATTGCCAAGGCGTTTTGCTTGGAGCACAGCTTGTTTAAGGAACTGTGTCACCACCCAAAATATCTGGCACCAACTCCACCTTCTGGGGATGGTTAGCATTGAGGTTCCTGCATGGATAGCTGCCAATGGCCACCCTGAAAATGGCTTTACAGAAGATACAGTGGCTAAGATCTTGCTTTGTGTGTG